TAACAATAGAATTTTAGTTTGAACATATGTCTGCTCAACTAATGACAACATTTCCCAGGTCCCCTGGAAGGTTGGTGTGGCCATCTGACATCTATTACCAGACTGTGTGTAAGTGGAAATGACTGTGCTCCTTCCAGGTGTCTCTAACTTCAAGACAAGTTATTTACTGTGGAGTTCCTCCTTTCCTTTTCCATGTTCCCTTTCCATGAGCACATACATGGATGTGCTCACTGATCAGTTGTGACCATGACTAAGGTAGGGGTTTGCAACTTTTCTAGAATTGTTCAGATAGCAAATCTATCTATTTAGACATTGAGAACTGTACAGTCACTGTCTCAACTACTAACTGTTCTATCGTTGCACAAAAGCAGTCATATATAATATAAAAAAAAGTTGGCAGAACTGTGTCACATGTAATTTTATTTACCAAAACAGATGGCAGACCAGATTAGATGGCAGTTTGCTGATTCCTGCTCTGGGGGATAGAGGAATGATCAGATGGAAGAAACCTGGGTTCTTACATAAGTTTTCCACTTATCTGAACTATTGATATCACACAGCTTTACGAGAAACACACAAATACCTATTTTCTTTAAACTACTGAAGTTTTGGAACTTTGATGCAGTAACTTAGCCTTTACCTTTATATTTATGTATACATACACACACAGGTACATATCAAATGGAGAAAAGTATTGAACTCTATTCAATAGTCAAGAATTATTCATCTGAATTAGTAAGCACTTTTACAAATCACTGAGATAAAAAAAAATCTAATGGAAATCTAGACAAAGGACACCAACAGGATATTTAACAAGAAAAGCAAGTGAATATAAGTGAAGATGAATAGCAATTAATCAAGTTGAGTAAAGTTTATTTTTAATGTTCAGTCTTACAACAATGAAAAACAGTAAATATGAGTTTATAAGTTCTTGTTTATCAAAGTGGCAAGAAAAACAAGTTTTATAGAATGTGCAGCATTTGAGTGGATATATAAATAAGCTCTCTTATACCACAAACATAGATACAAATGTTTTTAAATTTTTTAATGAGATATTTGACGATATATATTAAAACATTGAAAATTGTACATGCATTTTGGCCAAGCAATTGCATTTCTTAGAAGTCTATTTCAAGATCATTATAAATATGCCCATTATTAAGCAAGGTATACATAATTGTATAATTTTATAATAATAGGAAAAAACCCACATTTATAGCCACATAGAGATTTAACAAATAATGGAATGGCATTGAAATGAGTGAAATATTTAGGAGACTCTTAAACAACATGAAACATTCTTGATATACTAAGTAGATGAAAAGTTTATATATTACCCAAAATCATAACCTTATTACAGAAAGCAAGCACACACGCCCCAAGTGACAGCAGGAATGGCTATTACTAGGTAGTAGCAGGATAAGGAATGATTTTCATTTACTTCATCTGCTTTGCGATATTATCTAATATTTCATTATATTCTGAGTTATCTTCAATTTCTGAAAATATGATTCATTTATGTTTTGAGCAAATTAAAAACTGGAAAACATTTGCAACTATTTAATTGGTTTTGCTCACCAAATATTTGTCATTTGTCTATTATATACCAAGCACGTTCATAGGTGCTGGAGATAAAATGAAAAATAAAGCCAGGTGTATACACTTATATCCCAGCACTCAGGAGGCTCAGAGGAATGGCAAGTTTGAGCCACCCTGGTCTTCATAGTGAAACCCCATCTCAAAAATGAAAGAAAGAGAGAGACAGAGACAGAGAGACAGAGACAGCGAGAAGAAGAAGGAGAAAGGAAGGAGGGAGAAAGAAGAAAGAAAGAGAGAAAGAGAGAGAGAAAGAAAGAAAGAGGAAGGGAAGGAGTGAGGGAGGAAGGAAGAATAAAGAAAGAAAGAGAGAGAGAGAGAGAAAGAAAAAGAAATCCTTGCTCTGGAGTTTACTTTTTCATAAGTGATATAGACAATAAACAAGCAATTAAATGAATTTTCAAGATAGAGATAATGAGAATTGCTATGAAGAAAACAGCAATGCTCAGTTGAGGTTTGAATTGAGCTCTGAAGGGTATAAGAGAGCTAGTATATAAAGAGAAATGGAGAGCTTTTTATTTTATATATAAACTGGAACAACCAAGGAAAAAACTATTTAGCCAACAGCACTTTAGTCCTTAATAAATGATAGTTATTTGATTTTTATTTTATAAGCTTTCCCCCTTCCCATCATTTAATACTCAGCATATCAAATAGAAAGAACTGTTATTCTCATCTTATAGATGAGAAAATTTAGACACAGAAAATGTATTTGTACAGTCCTAACATAACAAGTAACAAATTCTATATGATTCCAGAATCCAAATTGTAAGTGAGTATACATGTTCAAGACATTTTAGTTCTCTACATCTTTTCCTTTGTTGTTCCAGTTTACATATAAAATAAAAATGAAAAGCTCTCAGATTCTAGGTGTGTTAGAATAGTGTGCAAAAATCTCCTTGTTCAAGCCGAGACATTCCTGTTACACAAACTGACAAATGACTTTTGCCTGTGGCAATTATCTAGCATGGATGTATTGCCTGCTCATGACTACAATTCACACTGTAGAGAACCTGAAAGATGATTAGGGCCTAATTCATCTTGCCCTTGAGAAATGTACTGTATATTCTAATTATAAACATAAGACAGAACAATTAAATACAAGGTAGGTTGTCATAGAGGTGATACACGGGGATCAGGAGTAATAACTGCTGTTGTAAGAATGCAGACAGACTTTCTTAGAGAAATGACTTTCAAATAAACAAAGGATGAGAAGGCAAATTAGGGGATAAAGCAGAGAAAAAGTAATAAATGAAAAGCACACAACAATCTAGGCTGACCAACTCAGTTTAATTTTTTCCAACTATAGAAAGAACTGAAAGATCAAAGACTGAATATCAGAGTACGACTCAGTGAGAATTTCATGGCCATTAAGAGGCAATGAAGGAGCCAGTCACTGTGGCACATGCCTTTAACTCTAGCTACTGAGGAGGTGGAGATCTGAAAGATCATGGTTCTAAGCCATTCCTGGCAAAAGTTCATGAGACCCCCCCCCCAATCGACCAATAAAAGTTAGACATGGTGGCATGTACTTGTCATCACAGCTACATGGAAAGCATAAATAGAAGGATTATCTAGGCCAGCTCTGGAATAAATTCAAGACCTTATCTCAAATACAACTGTAGCAAAAACGGCTGGGAGCATGGCTCAGTAGTAGAGCACCTGTCTAGCAAGCCTGAGGCCCTGAGCTCAACCCCCAGTACCATCAAAAAATAAACTTTTAAAAAAGATATGAAAAAAGAAGTAATGAGGGAAATGAAGGTGAAAAAGGCAGATAGAGGAGAGATGAAACCACAGGCTGAGTTTCAAGCACTAGTCAAATGTTCTTCCACGTTAGCTCAAGGTATAGATTCCATCGAATAATCTTTGACGACTTAGTACACTAATTATAAATAGTATTTCACTAAATCAGGAATATAAGATCAAATTCTAAGCCTAAAAGTTTAATAAGTTGTCCTCCCTGACTGCAGGAAATAATATTTTATAGTTCAATTAAAATAAACACTTAACAATTATATTTCAAATGCCTGGTGAAAAGCTTTCAACTTAAACCACTTAAATAACTAGAAAAATATAATAGTTTCTTGGTTATAGATTTATTCTCATTCACCAAATTATTTTGTTATAATATCTAATTTTCTGGAGTGCTCATTATATAATTGTAACATAGTAGAATTCAGAGTTGCCAATTTTCTTTCTTCTTTTTTCTGGTAGTACTGGGGTTTGAACTCAGGGCTTCATGCTTGCTAGCAGGAGCCTTGCCTCCCGTCTTTTTTCTCTGGTTATTTTGGAGGTAGGTCGTCACATTTTTACCCAGGCTGGCCTAGACTGTGATCTTTCTATCTTATGCTTCCCCAGCAAATTGTTGGGATGATGGGCATATGCCACCACATCCAACATTTTTCCTTCGAGATGGGGCCTCGCAAACTTTTTTTGCCTAGCTGACCAATAACTGGATTCTCCCAATCTCAGCCTCCCAAGTAGCTTGGGATGACAAACCCACAACACTGTTCAGGGCCTTGTGAATGTTTTTGCCTGGGCTGGCCTCAAACCATGATCTTCCCAATCTTAGCCTATAAAGTATGATTATAGGCATGAACCACCGGCTGTCAATTTTCATTTTATCCTAGTACTAACTTATTACACCATGGGTACTAGATTTTAAAAATGTACTCAGTAGGAAATTTGGAATAATTGTTCTTGATCTCTCTATGAGAGTTTTTTTGGTGATTGTTGACTGTCTATGATTAAGCATTTTAAAAGCCAAGCGTCATTCATCAGCCACCTGCTGCATAATTAAGAGATTTGTTTCTTTATTTTGGAGAGTCTGTTTGATAGGAGGTCAAGTTGGGGTCCTGAGTCAGCATTGTAACAATTTTGGGTTCAGTTAGAGAATAAAGATTGTGGAAGTTTATTGATGTATTTACTAATTAAAAGCCAACAGTAATTCCATGAAACAGCATTATGATTTTTCTCAACTTTATATTCTTTAAAAGAAAAAAAACCTTTAAGCAGAAAGAAGTATGTGTCCCTTTATTTGGTATTGTTCTAACACACAATGGGAGGTTACCTGTGACATCATTACCCATAGACCTGTAATATCTTGCTTCTAGATTGATGATAATGAGATGATAATGAGAAAAGCAATAGCAAAGAATCTCATGTGATTCAACACATTTCTTAGATAACTAAGTACATTTAAAAAATACAAGCAGATCAGTAAGTGTGTAATCTACATTTTTAAATCTAAAATCAAAGGAAGAATTGACAAAATGCCTTTTCATGCTTAGCACTGCCTGTCATCTTTTGGGGAAATGGGTGTCTGTGTACACACAGATTTACAAGATATACCACATGCTTGGTTCACTTGACAAGTGGTAAGTTGTGAAAAGCTAGGCTTTGAAAATTGTTCCTTAGAAATGGGTTTATTCAGGCAAATGTGTGAATCACTATATTTTATATGCCATAAGACTGGTTATGATGGTAAAGTCCACTTTTGTATACTTAAATTTTTGCAAGAGAGGGCTTTCAGTAATTGTTTTCTTTAGAACATTAGAAAGGAATTAAGTCAAAGCCACAAAAGCAACAAAATTTAAATATATAACACAAAGCAGCACTGGGATTATCAGACTAGGTCTTTTTAAATCTCATTACCATTGATAGCTTCTCCCAGTTCTTCCATCATTAATTCCTGTTTGGGGTTTTCAGCACATTCTCTATACAGTAAATTTTCTCCACGTGGGCTTTGAAATGCGTGTTCCTGGGTGAGCTGACCAGATGTGTTTATGACCACATTGTTTTTAGCTCTTAGGACATAAACTTCCTTGGGCTTTGCCTCTTTTTGGCAGATCTGGACCTGGAAAGCATGTTGGAAACCACTGCGAAAGTTTTCATTGAAGAAACCATAAATAATGGGGTTAACGCTGCTGTTGCAAAAGGCGAGCCAGTGTGCAAAAGGGTAGATATAAATGTTGATGACTCGCAGTTCACTTGGAGAAAGGGCCGCATAGTCTGAGAGCATCATCAGGGTCCACAGGGGCAGCCAGGACAGGATGAAAAGCAGGGCCACAGTCAGGAGCATCTTAATGATCTTCTGTTTCTTCCTGGACACCATGTGCAACTGCTCCTGGTTCTGCTTGCCTGTGTGGGGCACTGCAGTCTTGATGAGTGAAATCCCAATCCTCCCATACATGAGGACAATGAGGGACAGGGGAACCAGGTAGATGGTGGCAAACAGTACAGTGGTGTAGATCTTCCTCATTTCCTGATTTGGCCAGTTCTCCCGGCACCAGTAGACTGAACTGGTTTTATTCTGGGAGCTGAGTCTCACTCGGTAGTATTTTTCTTCTTGTACATGTAACATTACTGCAGATGGAGACATAATGGTGATGGCCAGGACCCAGATGACCACAACAATGACAAATGCTGTTTTGATAGTGAGCTTTGGTTTGAAAGGGTAGACAACACACCGGAATCTGCAATTAAAGGTAAATATCAATGAGGCACTGCCTAATACTTTCTGACCAAATTATCAATCAAATTTATTTAAGTAACTAAGGATCTCCATCCATATTCCCCTCAAAAACACAAAACATTTCTAGTAGTGAGGCATGCACTGTTATTTTCTGTAATTAATATGAGATACATTTTTAACTGAAAATTTGGGTAAATGGAGCACACGCATCAGGCACTATGAATAAAAATTAATAATGGTAACAGGCATATATGGTCACTTAAAACTCTGGCTCAGTCTGTTCCATTAGTTTGCATGGGTTACTTTAAGCCTTTCTATTTAAAGCACAAAGAAACAAATTCAGAAAATGTACAAATCTTGCCTGCTATTACGCAAGATTTTAACACAGGTAGTTTGGCTCCATAGCTCATGTTCTTAACTTCTGCAGTATGCTCAGTCGACTCCTAGCTCAACTGGGCTGTGTGAGACTGTTAATCAATAGCCATCAATGAACCATTTCTTTGATACTTCATATTCTTGGCTACTCCCCAACACATTATCTGTGTGCTTGGCCATGAAACATGATTTGGCCAACAGGATATTAGCAAGCATGATACAGGCAGAAGCTTTTTATGCACATTGGATCCTTGTCCTTTTAGAAAGATTCCTCTTAAAAGCCAGCTTCCAAGTTCCAAGAAGCTTGAATTAAATGAGAAGCACATGGGAAAGTCTCTGGGGGATAACAGGTTGGCCATCTTGAATTTTGTAGCCTAAGCTTAGTTCCCAGAGTAATGCTGCAGCATCAGTGATTCCAGGTATCACACATAGAACAGGAGAATGAACCAAATGTGCCCAGGAAAGCCACAGAATCATGAAGAGTATTAAAGCATTATTTGTTTTAAGCCACTTAGTGTTTTGGTGATTGCTGTCACAGCTTAAGGGTCTCAGAGTTTCTGATATGAATCCCGGTCATGAACATTCCTGACACTGTATGTCCTCTGGTGGGCACAAAAATTCAACATCAATATGTACAATGTGCCTGATTCGTTTTTCTACTCTTCTTATTATGGATCTTGTTATTGTTGTTATTGACGTTGATATTAATTGTAATATGCTCATACTATGATGCAAGTTTACCTTTTTATATTTTTCATAGAACTATTACTCATTTAATCTTTGATTTCCATGATGACTCTTTAAGACTGCAACTTTTTGAAAATTATTACTTCTCAGATCTGCAGATAGGCAAATGTAGAGCTTTAAGTTTGAGCAACAATTCCAAATTAACTGATGTGATACATCTTCAGGAGACAGCCAGTTAGCTTGGGCTGTTTTGTCACCCTTTATAACTCCTTCCTTGGTAAGGTCTTCTCTTTGACCTACAAGTGTCCTTCTAGTTTCCTAATCAGTGAAGTCTTCTAGTCGTCATCCTTGAAATTATGAGTAATTTCATAGGTACAAGTCTAGGCATTTTTCTCCTTTTGCAAACTAACTAATGAGGTTTAAATTGTTTTCATTTATTAAGGCAAAGATGAACAAAAGAGAGAATGGTCTCTGCTGAGAAATGCTAAGTGGAAATATATAATAATAATGACTTAAATTGGGCTAAAGAGTTAGGATTTTATTCAGAGAAGAATGGGAATTCACTGAAAGATTTTGCATGGCTAATGAGAAACTCACTTTTATAATTATAATTATCATGCTTTACTTTTTGTAATTATTAATATTGGGAATGGACATTAAATATAGCAAGTTGATGATATTTTTATTTTACTGCTGTCATATCTGAGAAATTTAAAAAATGAATAAAAGTAAAATCACCTCCTTGAAAAAATAAATATTTGTAAAACACAATTTAAAATTCAAGATTCCTCTGAAAATCAAAGCATAACACCATGCAAAGGATAAATTAATCCTTACATTTATTTATTAATTAATCTCATTTAAATTTTTTCATACATATGAAAATTAGGAGAAAAATTTAATGTACTTCTGTTTATGGCGATCCAAATTTAACAAATGTTAAATGTTAACTATTTGGCACAAAGTACTATTTTTAAAAGAAACTAAACATACAGATGCAGTTAAAATTCTCTTGCAGATCTACTCAATCTTACTCTTCCTCTTTCCCTAGACATTCTGAAGTTTCCTGTATTTTTATGCTTTTCCAGTGTTAGTCCGCATCCATAATGTTTTAAACATTATGACACCATATTGTACGTATCATCATGAAACCATAGTTTTTCTGATAGCTTATGCTTTCGAAATGCATGTATGCTGATTTATGTTGACCTATCTATTTTAATCACTGAAAGGTATCCAATGAATAAATATAATACGTACTGTTTATTGATTTTAATCACATTTATTTTTAAAAATAAGAATTGATGCTTATTTTTAAATCTGTTCAGGAGACATGGTAGAAACAGTGCAGAAAAAAATACAGATATTTAAGTACTAAATGTAATGCAGAGGTAAATATGGTAAGCTTAAGATTAAAGTAGAAATACAAATGATATTAAAGTTTTTATTTGCTGTAGATGTATGTAATTATATACTTAAAGTATAGAATTTATTATAAATATTCAACATAATAATTTAGTAATAGCACTATTCAATAGTAGTAGCATTAATAAATAGATGTGTAATTAACTTTATTCAGTATAATTATAGTAGTAGTAACAAGGTATAGTGGCTTGAAAAAGCAAATGCTCTATCACTAAGCTACATCCCTGGTCCTTAACCTTCAAATTTTAAGATAAATCTTAAATCTTTAGCATATGGTGATGAGAAAATGTTTAAATTCTAGTCTCTTCATCAAATAAACATGATCTACATGATAGGTTGTTAGAAATAGTTTTTTTTTTTCTTTTATTCATATATGCATACAATCTTTGGGTCATTTCTCCCCCTTTCCCTCAACCCCTTCCCTTACCCCCCCACCCCTCCCCCCCTCCCCCTCGCTACCCAGCAGAAACTATTTTGCCCTTATCTCTAATTTTGCTGAAGAGAGACTATAAGCAATAATAGGAAGGACCAAGGGTTTTTGCTAGTTGAGATAAGGATAGCTATAAGGGAGTAGAAATAGTTTTAAAAATAATGATGTATACAGACTAATATTAAAAATAAAATCTACCAATTTTTTCAGTTGATGTCAACAATTCCATCGTATTTCACATTGTCAATCTTAAATCTCTTACTTTTTTCTTTGTTTGCACATGTACACATAATGTTGCTGGTTGGTTGTGTTCTTTACTGGACCAGTTTCACTCAGTTATTTTATCTTCCACTGTTTAGTTTAACTTCCAAATATCTCTCCGTCCCAGTCATTACTGCCTTCATAGATGAGTACATCCTCTCCCATCTGTGTTCTTACAAAAGTTACTTAATGGCTCACCCTTTCTGTAATCTCACACTACTCCAGTCCAATCTCTAACTACCAGTGGGTCTGAAATTATAATGTCGTTATTAGTCTCCTGCTTGAAAGACTTTAATAGCTCCCTATTGTCTTCAGGACAAAATCTACACTCCTTAAAATTGGAGATAAGCCCATTGAAAATCCACTGTTGCCTCTTTTTGTGTACTAATGTGTCATCCCCCTTCCCTATTCCAGCTGAACTGCCTCTGCCATCCTTTGGACAAGTGCCCTCTTATTTCAAGTGCCTTTTGTAGATTCTGGTCTCAAAAAATGTCTTTTCCCTGTTTTCTTCCCAAGGTAAATTTGTAATCTCTCAAGATTTAGACAAGTCTCATCTATTTTTTTAATTCATTTATTCATATGTGCATACATTGTTTGGGCCATTTCTCCCCCTACCCCCTGCTCTTCCCCCCACTCCCCTTGCTTCCCCCCCACCACCCTCGCTTCCAGGCAGAATCTGTTAGAACCCACCATTCCTTGTCCTAAGAGGTAGAATTAGTCATTCTTCCCTTACTATGACTGTATATACTGGACCTCTATTAGAAAATATTATTTGTAAGTGTTTTTAATAGGTCTGTCTACTCCCCAGCTTGCAGACCTCCTGAGGCTACACTTCATCTCATTTGTTTTAGATGCAATACAACCTGACCAGTATAAAGTACATTATAAACTCTCAACAAACTGGATAAATGAATGAATAAATTAATGATTTTTTAAATCTTAAAATCTAATAACATTTCAGAGTTTTGGCACTTTTGTATTTCCACCACTAGAAAATTCTAGATTCTAAAGTGAAAAATGCTAAAATTTTGTACCATCCCTAATTATATCATTTTAAAGTTCAGAGAATTCAATGGCTTTGTTTTCTTATTATCAGAACTTTAATAGAAATATGACTTTTTTTAATGAATTGAGTATTATGAGTACTATTGAGGAAGACTTGGATAAATCTCTATTATATGTTTTTCTGGTAGATTAGTGGCAGACATGCCCATTTATTTGGACTCAGAGTTGCTGCTGACTTACCTATCCACTGCTATTGCAACTAAAGTAAAGACTGAAGCTGCAACTGATATTCCCTGGACCAATCCACTGATCTTACACATCATGCTTCCAAATGGCCAACCTGAAAGGGAAATGAAACAGTCTTTGAAAAGATCATTTTATTCTATGCTCTGAATATATGAACAGAAAGTTATGAAATTGACCAATCAAACTGTTTTCATAATAATAGCCATTGAATAATATTTCCCAGTATTTTCACTAGTTTTTCCAGAACTGTTTTTTTAATATACTAATGTCAAAACTTAAATAATCATTACATTAAAGGCACTATAATGACTGCTTTATATCTAATAACATATCTAATTCCCATGGCAAGTATTTGAAGGCTTTATTAGTGTCCCAATATGTGTAGACAAGGTAATCAACATAAATATCACACACCTTGCCATAGCTAGCTAGCAGAATTTGAACACAGGCAATAGGTATCCAGAATCTGAACCATTAGCCTTTATGTGATAATGTCCCCAAATGAATAAAATGTCCAAAATTCTATTTTTGATATTTAGAACTATAGCTCATAAGTTATGAGGAATCAGGAGTTACATACAGGACAAATAAATTATATTTATTTATACATAACATAATGAGATGATTCATATCATAGCTACTTCCAAAAGATTGCATGAACAAAAGTAGTCTACTTAAATTAAATAGAATGTAATTACTATAAAATTTATAAAATAAGTAAAATTATTATAGAAGCTTGATATTCTAAATCCCCATGTACGATTAAAGGAAATTAATAATATTCTTCTATTTGCAAATATTCTACACATCATTCAGATTTAAAAAATTTAGCCTATAGAAAGTATCTTGCAAGTAAAAATTGATAAAAAACCAATCTTATTAGAAAGGAAGAAAAAGACCCAAATTAATAAATGGGAAATGTAACAACAAAATACCAATGAAATCCAGAAGATCAAGAGAGAACACTTTGAAAAACCTATATTTAAATAAACTGAAAAAGACAGAAGAAATGGATAAATTTCTAGACATGTTTGACCTATCAAAATTAAGAGAATATAAACCACCTAAATAGATCCATAACAAGAAGTAACAGTCCTCTAAGAAAGAAAATCCCAGGACCTAGCAGATTCAAGCTGGATTGTAACAGACCTTTAGAGAAGAACAAACACCAATAATCTTCAAATTTTTATATGAAATAGAAAGGAAACAAACACTACTGAACTCATTCTATGAAGCCAAGTATTGCACTCATTCCAAAACCAGACAGGGACACACACACACACACACACACAAAAGAGAATTACAGACCAGTCTCTTTAATAAACATAGACTAAAAAATTCCCAGTAAAAATCTTGCAAGCCAAATTCAACAATACATAAGGAAAGATCATACACCATGATTGAGTTTGTTTCCTCCCAGGGAAACAAAGATGGGTCAATATTCACAAATTACCAAATGTTATACAACATATAAACAGAATCAAGGACAAAAATCACATGATCATCTCAGGAGATGACAAAATTTAACATCCTTTAATGATAAAAAGCTCTGAAGATACTAGGAATCAAAGGAATATACCTCAATATAATAAAGGCTACATATGGGAAACATGAAATCAGGAAAACAATCCCATTCACAATAGGCTCAAAAAATACCTAGGAATAAATTTAAGGAGGAAAGAAAAAGACTTGCCCAATGAACACTACAAATCATTAAAGAAATAAAGACACCAGAAGATGAAGGGATCTCTCATGCTCATAGATTGGCAGAATCAATATTGTGAAAATGGCTATATGTTCTATATGTTTACTGTAATTCCTATCAAAATCCCAATGACATTCTTCACAGAGATAGAAAAATCAATCTTAATGTTCATAGCGAAGCACAGAAAACCTCGAATAGTCAAAACAGTGGTGAACAAAAAGAGCAATGCTGGAGATAACACAATACTTGACTTCAAACTATATGGCAGAGCCAGAAGACCCAGAAATAAATCCATGTGACTAAAGTCATTTGATTTTTGACAAAGGAGACCAAACCATACACTGGAAAAAATGTATGCATCTTATCAAATGCTGCTGGGAATTCTGGATATCTAGCTACTTTCCTGTGTTATCCTGAACTAATATCAATGCAAAAATAGATCAAAGATCTTAATGTTAGACTTAAAACTGTGAGGCTACTACAGGAAAGAATAGGGAATACATTGGAACATAGGCATAGGCAATAACTTCCTGAATAGAATGACAGTAGCTCAGCAAATAAGAGAAAGGATTGATAAATGGGACTACATCAAACTAAAAGTTTCTTTCTGCAAAGAAAACAGTCATTAGACTGAAGAGAAAGCCTACAGAATGAGAAAATCTTTGCCAGCTACACATCTGATAAGAACACAGGGAGCTAAAAAACATAAACTCCCCCAAAACAGTAACCCAATTGATTAATGGGAAAATCAACTGAACAGACAATTCTCAAAAGAAGTACTAATGGCCAATAAATATGTGAAGAAATGCTCAACATTCCTGGCTGTAAAGGAAATGCAAATCAAAATTACATTGAGACTTTACCTCACTCCAGTCAAAATAGCTACCATCAAGAACACAAACTATAACAAATGCTGGGGAGGATGCAAGGAAAAAGTAACCCTTATGCATTGTTGGTGGGAATGTAAATTAGTGCAACCACTGCAGAAAGTAGTATGGAATTTCAAAAAAAAAAGAAAAAGAAAAACAACTAAAAATAGAATTACCATACTATCCAGCAATACTGCTCCTGGGTATATACCCAAAGGAATGTAAGCCATGATACAAAACAAAGACACTTGCACACCCATGTTTATTACAGCCCTATTCATAATAGCCAAGCTGTGGAAATGGCCCAGATGCCCAACAAGTGATGAATGGATTGAGAAAGTGTGGAATATGTACACAATATGGTTTTATTCAGTCATAAAGAAGAATGAAATTATGCTGTTTGGATAGAACTGGAGATCATGTTAAGTGAAGTAAACCAAGTTCAAAAAGACAAAGGTCACGTGTTTTCTCTCATATGTGGAAGCTAGGCCTAAAGTTAAATCTGTACATAAGTACACACATAATCATAGGTACATACCATAGATACATATATAGTGAACTAGGAAGAGGTAGTAGAGGAAAAGAGAATGACAGAGTAAAAGATATAAAAATATATTTATATTTGTGTATGAAGATGGTATATCAAAACACACTGAAAGCTGTTTGAAAATAACAGGGAGGAGAAGAGAAAGACAGTAATACAGGGGGTTAATTTGATTAAAGTACAATACAGTCATGTGTGAAACACCACAGTGAAATCCCTTGAACAATTAATATACACTAAAAAAAAATGAAGGATGGGAATGTAAAGCAGGTTCTGTTTGGGGATGGGTATTGGTGGGGAGTGAATGGAGAGGGTGAAGGAGAAAGAATATGGTTAATGTACTTAATGTACTTCTATGAAAATAGGATGATGAAACCTGTTGAAATTGTTTTAAGGGGGGAGAGGGAAAAGGGAGAATGATGGTAGGGGTGAGCCTAACCAAGGTATTTTGTAAGCATGTATAGAAATGTCACAGTGAAAAGCCTCTATACAATTAATAAATGCTAATAAAAATGTTTTTAAAAATACCTATAAGGCAGGCACTGGTGGATCTTGCTTATAATTCCAGCCACTTAAGAGGCTGAAATTGGGAAGACTACAGCCTGGGCTTATAGTTCATGAGACCCCCCCCCATGTCTAAAATAACTAGAAAAAAATGGACTGGATATTTGACTCAATCAGTGAGCACCTGCTTTGCAAGTGTGAAGCCCTTGTTCAAATCCCAGTCCCACCAAAAAAAAAAAAAAAATCAAACAAAATATCCTCCAATTTATTTTTTCTAAACAAAATATTCTTATCTGGTTTCAAATAGCCTAAATAACACAAGTATAATATATATTTCAAAAAATACCTATACAGTCCATCTTTTTCTACTCATTTTATTTTTGAGATAGGCTCTTGCTGTGTTGCTCAGGCTGACCATGAACTCTCAATCCTTCTACATCACCTCCTGAGCAGTCTAGATCATCCTCAAATAGATGCTTGAGTGACGTATTGATGGGAAACCTTCCCAAAAGATATGTTTTCTCAGTCCCAAAATTTGATTGGCTGTGATAGTATTAATTTTCACAAAAAGACAACAATTCAAAAGAGAGATAGGTACATAGCCCTTGGTTGAACATGGAAGAATAGCGTAAGTTTTTTATTTTTCTCATAAAACTCCATTGAAATGATAATGTTAGGACAAATGAACATAAATCTCTAGAAACAGAACTGCTAGGTACTACTGAGTAAGAAGTTGGGAAAACATGATTGGTAGAAATTATATGTAAATCCAACCAGACACCACTGGATTTCTTCCATGGCAGCAAAGTGGAGGGGTCTCCTCTTGGGAGGGAGAAGCATAGGTAGTTCTCAATTTTCAGTCACCAGGTACAGGGGGAGTGGATGCTGCAGTGATATTGAATCACTGTAACATCACTGTAGCTGAAGGATTAAGTGATAGTATTTACTACATGGAAATATTACTGGCTCAGAGACTCATTCTGCTCCAAAATGTAGCAGCCAGCCTTACATTCTTATGGAAACAGATCAGAGTTTCCTTCAGGGGAGAGTGACCTGTCCAACAACACTGACATATAGATTTGATAGCTTTGAATTTCCTAATAAGTGATCCACATGTGGTACAGAAGCTGGGATGGTATAGCCTCAACCTCCAAAAACATGAAACTTCCAGGAATCCACACAGTACTTCAATCTAAAATACAAGCCCATAAGTAGCTACTAATGCTAAGGAAGTCTCAAACATAAAAGAGAGAGACTAAAACAAATAGTAAGAAAAAAAATTTATGGGATCCCTAATAGAAAATGGAAAACAAAAAATATTACTATCATCAGAATATACAATACATCATATCACATTTCATCTATGAAACATGTGCGTGGTAGTATAAGGAAGACACAGAACATGAACAAAAATAGAGAATTTAAGATACAATAACAAAAACAAAGAACTCAACATAAAAGTTGGAAGAAAATGTCACAAAAATCTTTTTTTTTCATGATTCTGGGGCTCAAACCCAGGGTCTTATGCATGCTGGGCAAGTTCTCTACTACTGAGCTATATCCAAAATCCTTGTTTTTTGAGACGGGTCTCACTACGTAGCCCAGAATGGCCTCAAACTCATGATCCTCCTACCTCCACCTCTCCAGGACTAGGATTACAGGTGTGTACCACTATGATAGGCACTTTGAAAATAGAACAAGGTATATAAAATAGAAGAGAAAAGATGGAAAAATGGTAAACAATTATCTCCAATATCTGACTAATACAAGTAGAAGAAAGGAAAATTAACTCTTCAAGAAAATTCCCCATGATTGAAGGGCATTCATTTTTTTATTTAAAATTGCTAGTTCATATCTAGTGCAATAAATGAAAAACAAAAATACCTACTGAAAGGCATAAACACATAAAATTCAGAACACTAGAGATAAAGAGAAGTCTAAAAATCTTTCAGGAGTTAAAAAAATACAGATCAGGAATTAAAGAAGCTAGAGTTGAACAGCATCAGAGTTTCAGGAGTAGCTCTAACATTTCTCAGCAATCCTTTAAAATTCCAAGGGAAGAAAACCTAGAGCCCTTCATGAAGCTAACTATAATCAAGATATTTGCACACATATAAGATTTCAAATGTGTTTTATCTTAATGTAACATTTCTAAGTAAGAAATAAATCAAGAACTGATAAATAATAAAGTAAATCGAGAAAGAATAGGACATGGCATCCAAAAAACCAGTAATTGAGCACAAAGAGAAGTGAAGAGAATTGTTAGGGTATCAGTAAATGGATATCCCAGAACAATCACTGGGCTCCACACTTTGCAAATCAATGTGTTTTGACAGGAAAAAAAAAAAAAAAAAAAACAGGGCAAGGAGTATGAGGAGCGGTATCTCCAGGAAAAAGACGCAGGATTTACAGGTTATGGAAATGTTTGAAGATATTACAATGAAAATAAAATCCTGGAAGAGACTTTGAAGATACATCACTGATGGCACATAGTAAAAACTAAGAACTAAGCAAATCAAAATATGATGACATTGGTATATTCAGGAAAACAAAAAAACCATTTTATAAGAGAGAAAGTGATGTCATAGGACTTTGTGTGGCTCAGTATAGGTAAGATACATGTAAAATAGGAATGTATATGCTGGATATTAATCCAAATGAAAATATGATTTATATTGGGAAAATAAAAGAAGATGAAGAATGTGTGAATGTATGCTTATGTTTATGTATGGAAACTAGATTATGAGAATTAAATTCACATCTACAGTTTGAAGGCAACATATTATATTGGACACATGTTATTAGAAGCATGGTAATAATTACAGAAAATAAAGACAAAAATGCTGAAGTGGCTGCATCCTAGAAATGGAAATCGAGGGGAATGAATGGTAGAGTAATCTATATGCTCAAACTTAAAATAATTTTCAATGCTTATGGGAAATATTTGTAGCACTTCTTGGCAAAGTAATTTACCTGAGAGTAACAATGGTTTTTATGATTTTTTTTCACCCTCTTTTTCTCTATCACAGTATCTTTAGCATGTTACATTCCCAATAAAATTTGTTTTATGATAAATACCACAAAAACTCAAAATGTAAGGGGTACAAAACTGATAAACACTGAATTCTCCTTGGTTCCTACTCCAGAGAAAAGAAGTAAACAAAGGAAAACTCCAAAGAGAAACCACTTTTCCTATTCTTCAATAAACTTGGTATCAATCAGTTGGCTGGCATGCTTTTCCTCTACTCAGAAATTGTGAGTAGTTGAACAGAAACTCATCTACTATTGACAGACATGGGCCCTTGGGTGCCAAAGGCTTATGGGTTGACAGACTCAGAGGCTTATAGTTCCAAGTCCTAAGAAGTAGAGGCCATAGACTTAGAGCTGTAGGTGTTCTGGTGGGAGACTAAATGCTCTTGGTTTTGATTTCCATTGGCCTAGTACATGGTAGCTAGTAATTCAAAACTCTTATCAGTAACTAGCAGTAAGCAGTCAGTGGAAGCTACTGTTATAGCTGCAAAGCCTTGGGTATCAAGACCCACAGCACCTAATAGTGGCTAGTGTCACACTACTCGTCACATCCCCCAAGCCACGGGTGTTCAAACCCTTGATTGTTAGGACCCTTGCCTCTTAAGGACTTGCAGCTCCCTGGACTCTTGCAATGACTGGGTCCACAATCACTTGTCCTTGGTTCCTCACAGCCTTCTCTGTATTTCCACTGTCCTTCCTGTCTCTGCTGTCTCTGATCCCTGTAGTCATTGCCCAGCCACTGTGGGACTCTTAGGTCACCCTCTTGCCACTACTGCCACTTCTGGTGCCACTACTGCAGCTATTGCTGCTCCACTTTTCCTCATTGTGTTGTCAGTTTAACCCGCTCTACTGATGATAAAAATCAAAAATAAAGAAAAGGCCATTCAGGAAAAGCTTGTTATTATACCTAATGTTGTAACACCAGGAGGCAGCACAGGATGGGGTCTCCAAGTTGACTCAAAAAGTGAGCTGAACAGCCTGACTATACAGCCATGAAGGAGGGTGTGGCATAGGAATGGCATGCAAATGAAGGAGTATGTATGTGCCAATCACAGCGTGGCCTCCACTTCCACCAATCACAGGCCTAGAATTCCACCACTTGCAAGCTTTCTGCTGAGCCTCCAGGGAAAGTACCCCTGACACACCAGCCTGAATAAAAGTATTCATAAGGTGAGCAAAATCATCTAGAGATCAATGAGGTTTGTCATGGAGTCATGTCTTACAAGACTGGTGCAGGTTGTCTAGAGGGATTGTGACTCAAGCAAGGCCTCTTGAAGCCGGAGTCATAGTTATGAGTTGTCTCCTGCAGCTGCTAGAGTGTTCTGAGAGGGATCTTAAAGTGGCCAAAGCAGCTGGGCTGAAATGAGAACAGTGTGACCTATTGCCAGAGAAGGGGCTGCTCGACTGACAGTTCCCTGCTTAAGGCTGCCAGGCATAAGGGAAGGGTCTATATCTATTGCCATTGCAAGACCTGGTGATTATGCTTATTCATAGAAAACAAACAAAAAAAACCACTATAGGGTGCTTACAATAAACACTTAAAACTCAAAATGAAACCAACATTTGGAATAGCATTTAATAATGCTTAGTGTTGTTTAACCCCTGTCCCCGTGCCCTAGGGAGAGTTGGGTGCCTCTGAATCTGTCTCTAAACTGATGTTGAGTGCTATGAAAGGTGAGCACTGTGATGTAGCTCATGCTGCTCTACATATATTCAATATGCTGCAATAGTTCTATTTGTTCTTATACAGATTTGAGTGTGGAATCTTAAGCACTGTTCATAATACAACAAATATTAAGTTGGCTCTATGTATCACAACTCTCTGGAAATACATTGTTCTTGCAATTCTGGAGTATATAAACTGGTGCCAAAAAAATGATGTGGACTCAGAAGCACTAGAGACAGGTACACTAACCCTTCCAATGTAAAGTGACTTGCATTGCGTACGTAAGCTATCACTTTTTAAGACATTGGGGCTGCTCCATCTTCCCTTGAAAACTGTTAAGAATCTCCCTAGCTAACCCCAACAAAGCCCAAATATCCATTTACATTAGATTGTAATTTCTATAATGTTACATTAGAGTGCATCAATTGAAATAAGATGCACCAGTTCCCTGAATTTTACAGTCCATAATGTCTTAATACTATTATATGTACCCTGGTCTATGTTAAACAAATTCAAAAGTTTTGATAAAAAGTGCTCGTTCTCTGATGATCATCAGTGAACAGTCTATGAAAAAAGCTCCATGTTTGTCACCTGCTTTATTTTCCCCATAATTCTTCTTACTCTCAATTGTATATCTATTTCAGAAGGTATACCCTGTGAGGACAGGCACCCGCAGTAGTTCTTGCAACTCCATAAATATTTGTGAATGAATGACCCTGCCGTAGCTTCAGAGATATACGGCACACATTTTCTCATCTCTTCTTTGTACTGCACACAAGTCAACATACCTGCTATGATATTGTCCAGCAATGTTATAGGCATACAGAATATGCCAACTAGTAAATCACTTATTGCCAGGTTAAAGATGAAGAGATTCGTGACTGTGTGCATGTGCTTGTTCCTTGCTACAATAAAGCAAACCACAGTGTTTCCCACCATGCACAGGAAGAAGATCAGAAAGTAGGATATAATGAAGATCGCTGCCACTTGAGGCTGGTGAAGATAGTAGTTCACATAGGTAATATTCAGATCTGAATACAGATGCTGCTGTGTGCCATTGCCACTCCAGGTGTGATACCAGTTTTCTGAAGAGTTTGAGTCCAGTTCCTCACTCATGATGGACCTTAACAAGGGAGAGGCAGAAAAGAAAAGTATAATTAAAAACAACTACAACATAAGTTATGTGCTTGAGTTTAATAAGATGAAAACTTTGTAAACACCAGAGAATGCTAATTGACCTTCTTTAATAATTCATCAGTTTTGTATGAAATTGAGTTTAAAATGAAACATTTAGATATTAGGATTTTTAACTAAGCATTTTAAGATTACTTTGTACCACATGCAACAATTATATTTTATTCCTGATATACTTTATGTTTCACTTCTTTGACTATACCATCTGTCCATCTGCAACTTTTCCCTTACCTTCCAAACTCTACTACTAGGTATTGTAACTTGTCAAAACCCACTTGTTCTTATTATAAGGCTAGCTTACATGCCTCTAGCTTCTCTGATAATCCAAATAGGAGGGGGTGTCTGCATGTTCAAAACTCCCATTAAAGTAGGTTTATTGTATTTGTCTTAGTCTTCTTTGGCTCAATGAATTGAATATTCTCTTGTATAATTTTTCTACTTTTTATTTAATTTTTATATATTCTTTTTTGTTGTTGTTGTACAGGGGATTGAACTAACGGCTTATGCTTGCTTGGCAAGCACTCTACCACTCAAGCCATGCCCCCATTCCTTTTGCTTTTAATTTGTTTCTCAGATAGTCTCACAGTAACTTTGCCCTAGCTGGCCTGGAATTTAACCCTCCTACCTCTACCTCCCAGTGTCTGGGATCATAGGTATATACCACCATGCTTGGCTTGTTTTTAAGATGGGATCTTGCAATAAAAGAAGCCAGATTTACAGGCATGAACCACAATGCCAGATCCCTTTTTGTACAGTTTTGTATGCAAATATAGCCACTATATTGTGAATTTCCTGAAAGCAGGTCAGGCTACTTGTTTGGTTTCACTTCACATAATTATATTCACATAGAATATATCAAAACATTATTTCAAATCTACATATCTTAATGTGGACATTTCAATTAAATGTTGTGTGCCAAAGGTATCCAAAACCCTCCCAGGTTAACCAGGTTAAGCAATTTATTAAGAAGAGCCAACAGATTCAGTACACAGAACATCCATGGCTAGTATTTATTATAGCAAAGGACACAAGCAAAATCAGGAAAGGAAAGTCTATAGGAAACCAGACACAAGCTCTCCAAGAGTCCTCAATGGAATCACACAGGGCATGCTTTACTCCTACAGCAATGAGTTTTGACAATATGTGTAAAGTGCTGTCTACTAGGGAAGCTTATTAGAGACTCAGCACCCATTTTCATTGAAAAAAGGTGTTGTGGGTACCAAAATTCCAAGAATGTATCAAAATTCCAGACTCCCAGATGAAAAGGTGAACACATGAACCATGTTGCTTGTATACTCTAGGCATACTGAGCCATTTTATTACTTAAGGAAACTTTTGTATCAGTACAGAGAACTGTTTACTTGTTAAATTCCCAGACTCCAACTAAGGACTAAAAAGGCCTTTCTAAAGATAGTAGCCTCAGATCTGCTTAACTCTTTTTCACTTGTTACTTGACTAGACAGAAAGTTATATGTTGTGTCCATAAATGGAAATGAATTTGACAGTGAGCTTATATAATTGATCTTCTATATTCATTTTCTGGAGTAATTTTAGGCAACTTAATTGGTAGAGATAAATGTAAAAGAGTCTGCTACTGGTAGCTAATCAGACCCCACTTTCCCAAAACTTTGAGACATGTAGTGACCTCATACTAATTTAGCACTTTTTGATATTTTACCAAGTTTAAATTTTGTCATTTTAGAGGGGCATTTTGTCCTGCGAACATTACAACAAGTAGTAAGCTATATACTAATCACTTATATATGACTTTGGATAGTTTTTTCTTTGTATTTTTATTTCCAAGGAAAACTAGTTTTGCTTACTCTTAATTGACTTAAAATTCACTAATTTGGAAGGGGGGACAGGGTAGGTAAGGGAGGCGGTGGGGGGAAAGGGGGACAAATGACCCAACATTGTATACACATATGAATAAAAGAAAAAAGAAAAATAACACACCTGACTGGTGGAATAGTTTAAGTGGTTTATACAAAAAAGCAGTGTTTGTTTAAAATACAGAAAATTGAGTCTCTCTTTCTTTCTCTCCTCTCTCTCTCTCTTCCTCCCTCCCTCTCTTCCTTTCTGTTTCTTTTTATTTTGCAGGGAATGAAACTCAGGGCTTTATACATGCTAGGCAAATGCTATAACACTGAGCTACACCCCCCAGCCATCAGTTCAATTCTGTTAAAAAGTCAATACAATAGCATAAACATTTAGAAGGAGAGGAGCTGCTCTGATCTTCTCTTTCTTCTCTTAAATTCTCATTACAAGTTCACCCTAAGTATTTTAGTGTGGAAGAAATGTGAGAAGGCATGATACAAATATTGCTTGAGCACTGGCCTGAGTTTACTTCCATGGATAAAGCCATTGTGTCTTAAAAGATTGACTGAGAGACTGAACTATTCTTGCCCAAATCCCAGCAAGGAATCATAGGCCTTTTGCAATGCTTTTGGTGCAGGATCCTGGGACTAGCAGGTAAAAGCCCTGGGATTACTAGATAGATGTGTTCAATGTTACAGTGCTTCTGGAACATGGAGATGGTACTCTGAAAGCCCAAAGATGAAACCAGAAAGATCAGGAAATTCCATGTCGAAGGGACAAGGTCAGGCTGAGATTAGTGATGGAGAGAAGGACAGCAGAGACTCTTTTCTGGTTAATGACCTTTAGCTGAATGTATAATTGAAGTGGACAGTGTGCATTAATAGAGAATGCTGCCTGAACCCTTTTATCAGGCAGAGTGTGTTGTCTTAGTCATCTTTCCTGGAGTATTACCTGGCCATGCTCAGTGGTAACTTTTGTAATTTCCTACATTGTTTTAGGTGATACATTGTAAGCAATATAGAATTCCAGGAATGTATGAGAGATTATTGTCCTGATTAATAATTTCCATGAACTCCCCTTTTAACAGACCTTCCAGTCAGTACCTGAGATTAACTGTAGATTATCCAGCCATCAGTGAGGTAGTTCTTCCAAGTGATTCCACTAAATCTGATGTGTTAAAGATCCTCAAGGAAGCATCCCATGCCAATGGGGACTGCTGTGTTATTGTAAACTTGAATGGTACTTTCCTTTCCATCGAAATTTCGAGGAAGAACTAGACACAATTTGCATCTCAAAGAAGAGAGCTCAATGCAAATTTACTGTATTTCTAGAGTTATTTGAATTGCTGACATAACTGCCATAATTTCATGAGGTAATGTTTTGATTTAATAAACATTCAAAACAAGTTAATAATTGCATTGACTGTGTTATGATAATTTATCCTCTGAGTAAGAAGTAGGGGAGTTAAGGACTGTGGTGACTCACATGTCAAACAGAGACAGCCTAATAAACCAGCTAAAATTCAAAGGCCTGGGAATTACATATACTAGAGCAATTGAAAATCATTCTTGGAGTCATAAAAAGTATGTATGTTTCTTACAGAGTTTGCCAATGAGAAAGACACTTAGAGAAAAAATAGGCTTTGCTGGCTTTGGCATAAGATTATTTTTTTAAAAGCATGTACTTTACTGACAAGTTCAACCAGTAAAAATTTTAACTTGTTTTTTAAGCCAATACCCATAACCAATAAGATTACATGAGAGTCTTTCAAAGTATACACTATCAATCATTAAACACTATTTTATCTTTTTTTTTAAAAATTTAGGTGTAACATAGGAAACAATGTTGAATTGATGAAAGTGTTTTATTTCAAAGCATTTTGTTAAATACCATTGTCTGTATGTAGAAACCATCTTTAAAGCTGAATCTGTTTTTGTTTGCAGTGTTTCCTCTTTTATAGCTTTCTCTGACTCTAGCAGATGATTACAACTTTAATTTAGATGTTCATGAAGGAGTCTGTGATCTGTTTGATATCCAGATACTAAATTATTAGATTCATGGAAACTGGGACTAGTTCTCTTCCTCTACCTGTGTGACATTTTAGAATTCTTAATAACTGAAGTATTTAAAATAATGAATGTAACACCTTTCAATTCACTAATTCTGAAGTGTTCTCTAATACTTTCTCTTTTACTTCACAAAACTTCACCTATAAAAACAAAGGCTCTGCAAGTTATGGCAACAGCCAAGATGCCCCACCACTGACGAATGGATTAAGAAAATGTGGTATCTATACACAATGGAATTCTATGCAGCCATGAAGAAGAACGAAATGTTATCATTCGCTGGTAAATGGATGGAATTGGAGAACATCATTCTGAGTGAGGTTAGCCTGGCCCAAAAGACCAAAAATCGTATGTTCTCCCTCATATGCGGACATTAGATCAAGGGCAAACACAACAAGGGGATTGGACTTTGAGCACATGATAAAAGCAAGAGCACACAAGGGAGGGGTGAGGATAGGTAAGACACCTAAAAAATTAGCTAGCATTTGTTGCCCTTAACGCAGAGAAACTAAAGCGGATACCTTAAAAGCAACTGAGGCCAATAGGGAAAGGAGATCAGGAACTAGAGAAAAGGTTAGATCAAAAAGAATTAACCTAGAAGGTAACACCCACGCACAGGAAATCAATGTGAGTCAACTCCCTGTATAGCTATCCTTATCTCAACCAGCAAAAACACTTGTTCCTTCCTATTATTGCTTATACTCTCTCTTCAACAGAATTAGAGATAAGGGCAAAATAGTTTCTGCTGGGTATTGAGGAGGTGGGGGAGAGAAGGAAGGGGTGGAGTGGGTGGTAAGGGAGTGGGTGGGGGCATGGGAGAGAAATGACCCAAGCCTTGTATGCACATATGAATAATAAAACAATAATAAAAAAAAAGGCTCTGACTGCTTTAGGGGAAAATGATTCACCAGCCTCCCTTCCTTCTCTTCCCAAAATAATTACATTTTGGGATTTCAACTTTTCTTCCAATTCTGAATCGTTCTGTTTCCTCTTCTGAGAGGAAAGTTAAATTGGACTTCAGGTCATCAAAAGCAAAAATACTGGCCAAGGGTTGATTGCTTATAC